CCCAGCTCCAAAAACTATCACCTTTGCCAAGTTTATACTATCTAAACTTTTCTACTTCCCCATCCCTGAAGAATGAAAGAAAATCCAAAGTATTAAATCATAACACTGTTACATATCTCAGTATATGTACATATTCAGGCTTTTAAAAAAGTACAAGCCCACAATGCCATCATCACAGCTAAATAAAGTGTATGATGATTTGGTAATATTTAGTTAATGAGTCTGTGGGCAAATCTCCTCATTGGTGCTAATATGCTTAGTTCAGTTTGCACATTCAAATCAGTATCCACACATGGTTTATATTTTGAATTGTGTGAATTTGAAAAATGGGCCTTTTGTCTGTGTTGGCTGAAACCTGAGACTGAAAAAAAATTACCTACTAGGTGCTAGATCCATGTGTTATACACAAGAGGTATTTTTTTTTTTTAATTGAAGAAGCTTAGCCTGACAACTACTGCAGCTCCAGAGGATTTCTTTTGTGAAAGATCTTGAATAGTTGTGGCCTTTCCCCATTAGAAAGAGAGAGAGAGAGAGAGCGCTAGAAGGGACTGGGCTGATTGTTGAACCATAGCTGAGTTAAGTACAGCGGTAAGGATGTGGCTGGACATACCTGGATCCTAAAATAATGCCCACCAAGCACAGCTGGATTCAGAATACCTGGTTACCTCTCACCGTGGTAAGGCAGGCCTAGGAGTCCCCACAATTAGATGAGTGATGGCAGGACAGGATCTGTGGTTGTTACAAATGGATTCTCACCCACTTGGCTTTCTTGCGGGAAGCTAGTCCCAGCAGGAGGTCTGAGTGATAGCATTTAGAACAGAGGTTGGGATGGAGTTGTACAGGAGGCAGGCACTGCCTCTTTAAGGGAATAGCAGCTAGGAACTCTGGATGGAATAAAGCCCTATCACCCTCCCCGACACAAGGGCTCCAAAGATTCTGGTAAAAGAATTAAACAGCTCTAGATATTGGCCAAACTCAGAGAGCCCACACTGTACCTGTTCCTTCTGATTCTCAGCTACAAAAGGGAAGCAGAGGAAAGGTGCCTTCTTTCCACCCTAGCCAGGGGAACCTAGCTGGAGCAGCGAAGATGCTTTAACATGAGACTTTCTTCTGAGTGTTTAATATGAAGTTGGACCATAGAAACGAGACCTGATACAAACCAGGGAAGGAATTCCTTCTGGGAAGAACTATTCCTTCCCGATAAAAATGCTTAAGCAGTTTTCTGATAATTTGTAATGAAACAAAAGCCTCTTCTGGGAAACCAGCTACTCAGTCAGCTAACAGGCCACTCTCCAGTGATTTTGAATTCAGTTTAATAACAATTATTTAACCATTTATTTACCTATAAAGTATTTCTTCCAGGGGGAAAAAAAAAACCCTAAATTGGCTTGCTTAGGCTTCTTCCCTTGTGGAAGATAACAGTTTGTATTTTGTTGAGTTCTGCTCTTTCAAAACTGTTTAGATGGATAAAATAACTTGGGTTGTCCTTGAAATAAATTTAACCTTGATATTCAGTTTCTGAGCCTTCACTCCACGGATCACTCAGAACAGGCCCTTCGCGGTTAGGAATCAGAGACTCACAGGTGGCTCCTCCACAGCTGAAACATCGGACACCAGACTGTCTTGTTCACCCTATTTCACAGGTTCGGGTACCTGGTTAGCTTGTACACACATATTATATAGGCAGGACTTTCCTTTGCTGTCTACTACCTTTCCCTACAGGAAAAACAAAGAATTTTAAAAAGTTTAAGGCAGATAATGATTTGACCAGCTTTTACTTTCAATCAGTGCTAACACAGAGCCTTAGTTTTCTGCAGCTGTCACTCAGGTCACAAAAATCTAGCATTCTTGCATAATTTAATCATGTATGTGAAGCACCTGCATACATTTGCATAAAAAAGCCAAATATATTTTACACTTATATAATATTGGTAACATTGCAGTTGAATTGAAATTGGTATAACTGAAAAATAATTTGGCAATATGTAGCAAGAACAACAGATGCATTATATCCTTTGATGTATCTGATGTTAGAAGTATTCTAACCTCTTTCCTAATTTAAAGATAGGACAAGGAAGCTACATACATGAATATTTTCTTCACATTATATTTTTGTGGTCGTGAAAAACGAGAAGCAGTCTTAACATGTTAATAGCATACACTCAGTAGGTAAATTTATAGTTACAGCAAGTTAAAATATTCATATGACAAGGAATAAACATTCAGTTCATGCTGTAATTACTGAAAGTACATATATGAAGAAAATACATAAGAGTGATAATAATGTGAAGATTAAATTACTTTTTCCATTTTTTAAAGAAATTTCTCTAGATGCTTTTGTTATTTGAAAGTAGCTTAGGGGCCTGGCATGGTAGCCTAGTGGCTAGAGTCTTCACCTTGAATGCGCCGAGATCCCATATAGGTGTCGATTCTAATCCCAGTGGTCTCATTTCCCATACAGCTCCCTGCTTGTGACCTGGGAAAGCAGTTGAGGATGGCCCAAAGCCTTAGGACCCTGCACCCAAGTGGGAGACCTGGGAGAGGCTCTGGGTTCCTGGCTTCGGATCGGTTCAGCCTCGGCCGTTGTGGCCATTTGAAGAGTGAATCATTCAATGGAAGATCTTCCTCTCTGTCTCTCCTCCTCTCTATATATCTTACTTTACAATGAAAATAAATAATTCTTTAAGTGGCTTAAATATTAGAAACATTTTCTTAAAATTTCTGAAGCCTTAAGAATCACACATCATTGACAATTCATGTTTAAATGGTACACAGAAATTTCCATTTGTTAATGTTCGGCTGTTGGCAGACACGGCAAATTTCTTAGCTAAGCAAATGTCAGTTGTTGCTATAGCACATCTAAAATTAAAATAAAGCTACATAATAATTGGCATAGCAGTACTCTTGGGTAAATATGGAGAAAAGTCAAAGACTGATTAAGAAAGGAAAATGTCAACCTTCCTGGGGAACACATGTGACTTCATGGGGAGGACAAACCAAATAAACAACTGGGATGAAAGCTGCCGAGCACTTGTAAAGATGTCTGCACAGGCTGGAAGAGATTCTGGAGTAGGAGGAGGTGTTCTAGATAAAGCAAATCCAAGAGCAATTATTATTATTATTATTATTATTATTTTAATCTCTGCATTCAGACAGCAATATAATCTAGAATGTCTTGACTCTAGGTCAGCTGCAGGACTGTCAGGCGAGCAGTAGATAAGAGGTTACTGGAGGCAGATGCCATTAGGTTTTATTCTGAATGTAGTAGAGAGACTCTGAAGATATTTGAGAAGGATTCAAAAATCCGTTTGATTATATAATTTTTAAAAGCTTATTGTCATTCTATCTGAAAGGAAGAGTCGTCCAGGCAAGGCTGGGTCAGGCTGAAGCTGACCCAGGAGCTAAATCCTGGGCTCCCACAGGACTGGTCTCTGAGCAGTTGAGCTATCATCTGCTACCTTCCAGGAGGCGTCTTAGTTGGAAGTTGAAACTAGGAGCAGAGCTGACACACTCTTCTATGGCACGTGGATGCCCCACACAGCACCCTCACGTGGATGCCCCACACAGCACCCTAACAGTTGTACCAAATGCCCCCTCTTAGTCACATTCTATAATTTGCATAGAATAAATTGAAAGGGAGATAAAGAAGATCTGTTATAATAAACCAAGACCTGATTCATTGTATTAGGAATATTGGAATTGATTCCTCCAGAATATATGTTACTTAAAACTGGCTAAACCACATTTTAGTGAAAGTTTAGATAATTTTTGATGTTTACTAATAGAATTGGCATATAATATGGAACCAGGTTGGAGTGGATTATTTTAACTATGTGGCCAAGAAATACGTGGATATTGAGGCTGATAAATAAATAGAGAAATGCAAACCCTTACAGGTAAAAGGACTTGAAATTCTAGAAGGTGACAGACTATCTAGCTGTGTCTAGATCCCTTGGAGCAGTGGATTGGTTCAAATTAAGTCGTATAATAGATTACCAGGAAATAAAATTCTCTAGTCAAACTGTCTCAACGTTCTAGGACTTTATATATTGCTGAAAAATAATGAAGATCATAAAGGACTGTGTGATAGAACATTCAGGTAATTACAATCTCTCCCTCATTGTTTCTAGAAACTAGCATAAGATAGTTTGAAAATTTTTGTTTCTTGTCCCTTAGGGAATCACAACCAATTTAGAATATAGATTTTTCTGACTTAGGAGAAAAGCTAAAACGGATACAAATCTCATGAGTTACCTCATAATCACTAGATTTGGCAGTTGTCTAAGCATTTGATAATTAATTCACCCTGCAAATACCCTAAGCCACCCAAAGCAGGCTCTAAGTTTAAAAACAAAAGCATTTTATGAGTATTTATTTGAATGAGTTGTAGATGGAAAGACACACACACACACACACACACGACTGTCTGCTGGTGCACTTCATAAACGGCCACAACGGAGCTGGGAACTGGGAGCTTCTTGCGCTCAGGTGCAGGGGCACAAGCATTTGGGTCATATGCTGCTGTCCCACGCCCATTAGCTGGGAGCTGGAAGGGAGGTGGAGTACCCAGGATTCGAACTGGAGCCTATATGGAATGCTGGAGCCAAAGGCAGTGGCTGCACTGCAGTACTGGCCCCTCAAAAGCCAAGCCTTGAGGATGAAGGAATGGGACGTGGGTCCGAGGGTACAGTTTCAATTGTTATAATTTCCGGAGGTCTGTGGTGGAGGATATGAATTATGGTGACTAACAACGTACACTTGAAAATTATCACCTCGTTGCTCTTGCTACAAAAAAGCAGGTGAGGTAATAGATGTATTTTGGATTGATTTAACAACTTCACAATCCATACGGCTATCAAAACAACCTCGTATGCTACAGCCCTGAACAACTGCACTTTAGCAAAGCTGGAAGAAGCCGGGGCACATCCTTCCCGGGAAGCCAGTGCGGCTCCGCGGGCATGGCGGGTAGGGCAAGGCGGTTTCGGGCTCCTGGGCCCAGAGCCCTCGTCGCGCCCGGCGTCTCATTTGCAGTCCTTCGACGCGTGACCCCGGCGCGCTCGCGTCCCGGGCCGGTGGCAAGCGCGGGGTGCGCCCGGCGGTGCCATGTGCCTCCTCTCTCGCGCGGCCGCAGCAGTCGCCGCGCCCCGATTCCCGCTCCGGCTCCGCGGCAGAGGGCTTGCCGCCGCCATGTCTACCGCCGGGCCCCTCAAATCCGTGGACTACGAAGTGTTCGGGAGAGTGCAGGGTAGGAAGCCCCTACAGCGGGGAGTTCCAAGTGGAATTACCGGAGGCAGAGGGAGAAAGCGGAGGGAAGGGCCGGCCGCGTCAGGACGTCCTTTCTCGGGGACGGAGGTGGGGGAGCACTTCCGCTCGGCCATGACACAGCAGCCCCGGTGGGGGGGGGCGCGCATGCGCCGCGCGGCTGGGACGTGCTGCCCCGGACTCGGGGTCGCTTGGGATGGCGGGGTGTCCGGGGCCTGGCGGGGCGTCCGGGGGCCGAGGCGCTGCCCTCCGAGCCTGGAACACCGATTCTGGACTTGGAAAGAGAGGGGGCTTGCGTCACTTGACCGTGCGGCCACCTGGGCTTGAGACATTGAGGACGTTTCCGAGTCGACTTTGTCAGAGGTCGCACTCCGCCCAAGCTTTTTTTTTTTTCCTTATGTCACGTTTAGATAGCTGGAAAGACATAATGCCTGTCTCCCTTATTGATATTTTAGATATCAGTAGATATTGATATTTTAAAGTCAGAGTGCCAGACCACTCTTTAAAATGTACGCAGTGGCATGATGTCGTAATGTCACATCTACGTCATTCATATAAAGTAGCTCCGTAATGTTGGTAAATTTTACCTCCTGTGTTTTTCTCACAACTTGATTTTTGTTTTACTTTCCCACATAATTGCATCCCATTGTTAGGCTTATAGATTTCTCATAGTTCACCCTATCATACTTTTTTTTTTTTTTTTTTGGCAAAACGGACTGGGGTTTTTCAGAAGGGTTGTAGGGCATGGAATTGAAAAGAGAAATTTGGGCCCAGCGCGGTGGCGCAAGTGGTTAAGGTCCTCGCCTTGCACGCCCAGGATCCCATATGGGCACTGGGTTCTATCCCGGCAGCCCTGCTTCCCTTCCAGCTCCCTGCCTGTGGCCTGGGAAAGCAGTCGAGGACGGCCCAGGGCTTTGGGACCCTGCACCCGCGTGGGAGACCCGGAAAAGGCTCCTGGCTTTGGATCAGCATAGCATCGGCCGTTGAGCTCACTTGGGGAGTGAATCATGGGACGGAAGATCTTCCTCTCTGTCTCTCCTCTCTGTATACAAACGCCGAAGATCTTCCTCTCTGTCTCTCCTCTCTGTATACATCCGCCTTTCCAATGAAAAAATAATAAAAATAAATCTTTAAAAAAAAAAGATAAATTTGCTTTGGTGAGAAAAACGTTGAAATCCATGTAATGCTTTTGATAATACGATTTTTCCATGGGCTTTTTGTAGTACCTCTGTGTGTGTGTGTGTGTGTGCGCGCACACACACAGATAATTGTAGGTGACTGATTTTTCCTTATTTCTTTTGACAGTAAGGTTCTGAATTATTAATTTTGTCCTTCCAGATAGAGTTGCCCTTAGGATTATTATAACACAGTAGTTTACGGCCATAACACCCGAACACACCTAATCTAGCATTATTATAACACAGTTAATGAAAATAATGTAAATATCCTTAAAAATATGATAAGCAGTGAATTTAAAAGGTCAATTTGTAGTAGAAATTTACTTCTTAAAATGTTGGAAACATTCTTGAGGCCTAATACTTTTGGGATGCTGTATGAGGGTATAATTAAGAAAATGCGGAAATGCCCCCCCTTTCTTAGATTTATTTATTTGTTTTTGTTGGAAAGGCAGATTTACAGACAGAGGAGAGACCGCGAGAAAGATCTTCCATTTGCTGGCTGCACTCCCCAAGTGGCCGCAACGGCTGGAGCTGAGCTATCTGAAGCCAGGAGGCAGGAGTTTTTTCCGAGTTTCCCATGCGGAAGCAGGGCCCCGAGGGCTTGGGCTGTCCTCCCCTGCCTCCCCTTTCTAAGGTGCCTTTCTTTCAAAAGGTGACTGAAAATGGTGATAAGAAAGGGGAACTATGGCAAGCAGGCCTCAAACACATCTCACGTCACCTTGGGCAGACTATGTACGGAGGCTGAAAATCTGAACGTTGATTTTAAAAATTATTAATTGATTTGTATCTTTTAGAAAAGTTTTTGGGATTGGTATTGTGGTATAGCAGATAAAGGGGTAAAGCTTGCGATGCTGGTTTGAGTACTGGCTGCTCTGCTTAGGATCCCTGGCCTTGCTAATAGCGTGGGAAAGCAGCAGGAGGTGGTCCAAGTGTTGGGGCTGCTGCACCCACATGAGATGAGGCTTCTGGCTCCTGGATTCAGCCTCACCTGGGCTGGCCATCACAGACATCTGGGGAGTGAATCAGTGGATGGACTTCCTCTCTCTCTCTTTGTAATTTTGAGTTTAAAAATAAATGAATCTTAAAAAAAGAAAGATTTTGGAAACAGACAAGATAATTATACAGTCGTTTGAAAAATGGCACAGTAAGTAACTGAAATGCATTACATAAAATACAAAAATGATTGCAGTGATTGTTTGACAAAATGTTTGATCCACTGGACAGAAATGGCAGTAGTTAGGAAATAGTAGGTCTCTGTGTGTGAAATTTACTGGGAGTGTTCGTGTGCTGAGTACCTCGTCATTATTGATTTCATTCTTATCACGGTTTTCTGAGGCACATGTTTTATTCCTGTTTCAGCAAAAAGACACGTAGAGGTTTAGTCACTTGGACAAGCCCTTAGTTGACAAATGGGATTTGATTCTATGCATATCTGACTTTAAAACTTGCATTCTCCTATTATATGACATTTTCAGTATTTTAAAAAATTTTTCAGTTTATTATATTTTGATTTTCAGTATTTAAAATTTTCAGTATTATATGACATTTTCAGTGTTTTTACTAATTTTAATTTTATATTATAATTTTACTCTTGTGCAGATGGTAGTTACATGGTATATAAAGATAAATTTGAGGCAATAACAAAAATATAGAAAAAGAGGTATAGGGTGTAAGTGGTTGATATGGCAGTTAAAATGCCTGTGTGGAGGGCCCAGTGTGGTAGCCTAGCGGCTAAAGTTGTTGTCTTGCACATGGAATTCCAAGTTCTAATCCCAGTGGCCCCACTTCCCATCCAACTCCCTGCTTGTGGCCTGGGAAAGCAGTAGAGAATGGTCCACATGCTTGGGACCCTGCACCTGCATGGGAGACCTGGTGGAGCCTCCTGGCTCCTGGCTTCAGATTAGTGCAGCTCTGGCCATTGCAGCTGTACCTGGATTTCATTCCTAGCTTTGCTTGATTTCTGACTCGAGCTTCCTGCTAATGCAGATGTAAGGAGGCAGTGATGATGGCTCAATAGTGTAATTGGGTTTTGAGCCGCCAATGTGGGAGACCTGGATTACATTGCTGGCTAGTGGCTCTGGCCCTGCTGTGTCTCTGGCTCAGTCCAGCTTTAGCTGTTTTGTGCATTTGGACCAGAGAATAGGAGTTCTTTCTTTTTTCTCCCTCCGCCTCTCAAATAAATACAGAAATAATATTCCTTTAAAAAGTAAAAATTGTTCTACCACATGATCTGTTGACAGAGGCATTTGCACTCCCGGGTTTGTGGCAGCACTGTTCACCGTAGCCCAGAAGGGGAGCAGTCTGGATGTCCCGTCACTGGTGAATACACAGATACAGAACATGTGGTGGCTATATACAACACCAGTCACAAAATGGGTGAAATCTTAGAATTTGCAACAACATGCATGGAATGAGAGTAAAGCTGATAAGCCAAGCAAAGAAAGACAAATAGCACATGATCATACTCATATTTAAACAATAGCTTGCGTCATAGAAAAAAAAGTATAATGGTGACTGCCAAAGGCTGGGGAAGGAAATAAGGAGAGAGGGATGAAGAAAGGTCGGTTGAAGGCAACTAGATTATAGCCAGAGAGGAGTAGGTAGTTATGGAGCTCTATTGAGTATTAGGATGACTGTGTTTTTCTCTATTTAAAAAAAAACCTAGAAAGTAGCACTATATAGAGCTGTTAAATGCTTGGAAGAATAAATATATTTAACATATTTGAATTTTGTACAATGTGTATATATAAGGATACAGCACATGGTATCCCGTAACTATGTGCAACTTTGTATTTCTGTAAAATTTTTAAAATAAAAAATTTAGAACTGTGTATGTTTTTAAAAAGAAGTGTCTGATACATAGATAGTGGTGTTTAAAAATTAAACTTTGCTGCAGTAGTTCCTGTAGTTTGTGATGTACTGAGTGGAGGCTAACACACTCCTCACTATTGATTAAAGCATAGTACTTGGTAAGAATTCATAACCACCAACCTGATCACACCTGCATCGACACCCCATGACCTACCTATGGTTTGCCAAGCTCTGTACTTACAGCTCTGCGAGTTTTGTCTTATTTAAGTGTCATCCATGTGAATTTTAGCCATTTTTTAAGTGAATGGATGGAGGTACTGAGGCCCTAACAAGTGAATTTTCCTCAGGTTACACTGAGAGTTACGCTATGAGGCTGGGATTTGAACCTTGCCAGTGTTCATACCAGAGTCCGGGCTTTTCATCACTGTGTGTGTCTGACTGGTTGTCTTCTCAAGTCATCTCCTATTCTGCCTCCTTTCTAGCTTTTAGTGAATCTAGTCATTTGGATAATTTCTGATGACTTGGAGGATTTTTTGACTGTTTTTTTTTTCTTTAAAGATTATTTTATTTGAAAGGCAGTTACACACACACAGTGGGAGAGAGAGAGAGAGAGAGAGGGAAAAGAGAGATGTCATTCAGCTGATTTCCTAAATGACCATGGCCACATCATGGGCTTGACCTGGCGAAAACCACAAGCTTCTTCTGGATCTCCCTCATGGGTGCAGGGACCCAGCCACTTGGACCATATCTGCTGCTTTTTCCGGTGCTAGGCATGCAGCTGTATCAGAAGTGGAACCAGCTTCCTTATGCCATGCTGGCATCGCTGGGGGTGGTTTAACGTGCGATGCTGTTGTGTTGACCCCATAGATTGCCCTTTTGAAAACAGGTAAGTGAGACCTGGTCGGTGCATAGCACACTCAGAAAAACTGTCTCTAGCTGACACTGTGAATGGATCTGTGTCTGTATCTCACAAAACTGCTTACCATTTTCTTGA